ACAACAACAACAACAACAACAACAACAACAACAACAACAACAACAACAACAACAACAACAACAACAACAACAACAACAACAACAACAACAACAACAACAACAACAACAACAACAACAACAACAACAACAACAACAACAACAACAACAACAACAACAACAACAACAACAACAACAACAACAACAACAACAACAACAACAACAACAACAACAACAACAACAACAACAACAACAACAACAACAACAACAACAACAACAACAACAACAACAACAACAACAACAACAACAACAACAACAACAACAACAACAACAACAACAACAACAACAACAACAACAACAAACAACACAACACAAACAAACAACAACAACAACAACAACAACAACAACAACAACAACAACAACAACAACAACAACAACAACAACAACACAACAACAACAACAACAACAACAACAACAACAACAACAACAACAACAACAACAACAACAACAACAACAACAACAACAACAACAACAACAACAACAACAACAACAACAACAACAACAACAACAACAACAACAACAACAACAACAACAACAACAACAACAACAACAACAACAACAACAACAACAACAACAACACAGCAACAGCAACAGCAACAGCAACAGCAACAGCAACAGCAACAGCAACAGCAACAGCAACAGCAACAGCAACAGCAACAGCAACAGCAACAACAACAACAACAACAACCACAACAACAACAACAACAACAACAACAACAACAACAACAACAACAACAACAACAACAACAACAACAACAACAACAACCACAACAACAATAAAACATGATCCTTTATTTGAAACCAAAGTGAAATTCCCATCCCCAGCAAAAATCATACACCCGATGTTCCATCCAAAAGACCCAGGCTAGTTGAATATGCCATGGCAGCTGGCGAAGCATGGTATACCTGGACCATGCTCTTCAATCCTTCTGGTGGCTTCCGTGGGCTAGCTTTCAGAAAGCTCATGGATCGAATTCGGCGAGGCGCTTTTTTCGCCCACGTGGAGTGAAGCAGTTAAGCTATGGGTCGCTTCCGCCCGAAGCGGCCACGAGAACCACACAATGCGAAGGAGGGCCTGGCCAATGAACTTTTAGGGGTACCCATCTTGGGCTGTTTGACAGGGAAACCAAAAGAAACCAACCATGTTGGGCAGTGTGCCAGTGGCGGAAAAAAAAGCAACCATCAAATCCTGGGCCATCCTTCTGCTACTACTTGTAATACCTGGTTGCCCAAAGAACCTAAACGGCAAGCATCAAACTATAGTCTATGGGAAACCATCACATCGAAACGTCTCTGGGCAATTGAGAATAGGAAATCCCGTAGGTTTGGGTGAATTCTCAAAATAGGGGCCTTGGCGTCCTTTTAAGATACCAACCAAATCGAGGTTCAATAGTTTGATAATTATAAGCTCTCATTAAAAAAAAGAAGAACCTGTGTGGCTCTGTGATAACCTGCTCGCAGGGTGCTTTGCCCCGCCCATTCCGCCAAATCTTTTGCTGACACGCTCGCCGTTGGATGTCCATAGGTGCTGGGCTTCAGACACTGGAAACAACAGCCAGAAGAGATGAATGTGTCCTTAGACAACACATAACATTGTAATTACCAAGTTGCTCGAGCAACATAACCGAAGCCATTGACAGTCCAACCCCGCGTTGCCTGGCTTTCAGTATGCACATGGAGGCTTTACAACCCGCTGGCTCCCGAAGCCTCGCGCTGCGCCCCTGGCCGAAGGCGAACACTGACGCCGCTCTTGTCGGTTTGTCCGAGAGAAATCTCCATACATTTGTCTTTAGGTATCCCCTCAGCTTGTGGTCCGCCTCGAGTCTATGAACGCAAGCAGAGCAATAAACAGGACCCATGTTGCAGAACTCCGTTCCTTGTTAGTTCAATGACAAGTTTTGTTTTTGTGCGTTGCATTGGCAGGGAATCGTGTTTGATCTGACAAAACCAATCGTGCGGCTTGGAAGGGAATCGCATGCAATCGTGCATTTTCAGCATTTGACAGGTTACTGTGGCTCTGCATGAGGTTGGCGTTTGTAACTGGCAAGCCACTACTGGCCCTCCTTGTTCTTTGCATCAACCGTGAGCGTTGTGGGTATGTGCTGTCAACAACTAGGAGAATACCAAACACGACTGAGACTAATCAGAACCTGGGAGAGTCTATAGAGGTCTGCCCTCTGAAATCATCTAGAAACCGGACCTTGGCGAGAACTGCCCCCCCTTGAATCCAGGCTTCACTCAAGGAAACAAGCCCCCATCAATCTGCCAGGTTTCAATCCATCTCAAAATTCAACTATCACCAATCCCAGAGGCTGATTCATGAATCGACCCCCTGCCTCCCTGTAGAGTCAGCGAACAAACCCCACTTCGCACCGGGCGCTGTCTTTGTCCCAGCCGCTGGCCGGCGCCTGCGCGGCGCTCCAGGCGAGGCAAGGCTCCGGGGCTTCCTCGGCTGCCTCGACGAGGACGCCCAACGGGGGTGGTGAGTGTAGTGTTTTCTGGATGGGGAAACCGGTTTTGCTGGGGGAGGCCAAAAAGGGAAACTGAGAAGGGTGGATGTGACACGGGTTCTGTGTTTTGGGGGAAGCCCCGTAAGGCTGGTTTGAAAGAGAGCACCAGCCAGTTTGGGGATTCGGCCGTTCTGAGACGACCCTCTTGTGACGCAGACCGTTCTGCATGTTTATGGTCACAACATCAACAAGGAAAACTCCTTGATGATTCATCAGTTCAGTGTGATATGCTGCCGCGTTTGGCAAATGGCGGATTGGTTTAGATTGCAACTCATTTGGCATTCTGCTGTAGCTGCTGTCTTTGGTGCTGGGGAACAGTAGGCAAGGGACCGTATACCTGTCCTGGTTCTCATCCCCCCATTTTGCAGTAGTTGCCTAACCCCTGCCTTCCCCAGCCCTCCAACGGGGGGGTTCAGCTTCAGCCTGCTTGGGCAAGCCATGCCAAGCCCATACGATGCAGGGATTCCATATATTGAGTTGACCAGGGTGCAGTTCCGTCAGATCTCAGATCAGTAGCAAGTGTACTTTATTGTTACCTGTACTTATACATTTGGTTGTTGCTTCCGGATTGATGTGGCTGGGTGGGTCATGTTGATGATCAAAGTGCAGCAGCGGTAGCCAGTCTCAGATCAACTGGGCACTGCTTCTGCTACGTCGACCCCGGTGTATCAACACAGAGACGGGTCACGCCCATTTCGGGGAGTTCCTCCATTGCAAGCGCTCGTTCTGGCTCTACCTGTATTTTCAAGCCAGTGCACACAACATGAGCAAAGCTTGCATACAAGGGATGAGCTTCTGAATCAAATGTTTGTTGTCACCTGAACCACCAAGTGGATCGAAAGCTTGCCCGGGATAGCCGTGTTTGCAGCCCAGCGCTGGTTGAACATTTCAATAGCAAATGCGGCTCCCCTAGGCAACCTTGCCCCCCGCAATCAACTGCTCCATGTCCAAAGGGTGTAGATGATCCTTCAAGTGTTCTCTCCGAGCTTCTGGAACAAGCACAATGAGCTCACCCAGCGTGTGAGCTCGCCCATGATTGCGGTTCCGCACTTGGATCCCTTGTTTCCATGTGGCAACTTACATTGTGTTTGGCAGATGTTTGCATTGGTGGATTTGTTTTTCAGGCCCATCATATACTGGGCAAAGAAGCCTGGGTCTGAATCTGCGATGTTAGAAAATGGATCTGAAAACTAATAATTACGCAATTCCTGTGGGAATCCTTTTGGGAAGAACAACCACTCACAGGAATGCGTGGGATGGATTCCTTCTAGGTCGCGGGCCGAAGGACATAGGAAGGCGCCCAAGGCCCAGAGACATCGACATGCTGACTCCTGCAGTTCGCTCGAAGAGATCGCCGCATGGGACGAGTCGATTCAAAACAACAAGGGCTGCAAAGAGGTCACCTTGGTTCAACAATCAGACCATGGTAATTACCCCATTTAAAGCAAGAACTAAAAAAGAAGGCTGTATAAACAATAGATGTTTACACCGTTGCCGATTAACATGGACCATTGAAAATAAACATATCTAGAGAACGCACGCTCCTTCTGGAGGACACATTTCTTGGGTTCGATGTTGATTTGCAGGAAGAAATCATGTTCTAATCGATGGATGCCGTTCGAGTTAGTCGTAACTTCCGCACCTTCGAAGGGCATTCGCGTCTGCGCGGCCCTCGGCCTGAGTGTGGCAACCGCGAAACCGGGAAACCACACCCCCTTCAAGCTCGCTTTGGGTATTAGTATTAGCGTCCAAACAGGGGGGACTCCCAAAATGCCTGGTTGGCCTTTTGGTTTCCCCTTGAACCAACCTGAAGAGGGTACATGGCAAAACACAAACCCATAATTATCAGCTGGATAAAGCATTCACCAGGCGCACAGTCAAAAGAACTTTATGACCAACTGTGAGCGCATCAAAGACTCATGACAGTCCGAAAACAAAAACTGTGTCCTGGGTACCGATGGGCATGTGTCACAACTACGGCCCTTTGAGCTAGGAACCCTGTATGCTAGTGGCCCTTTGGGGTGCCGGGTGTCTCGGAAGCCAATCAGGTAGAACGCTCCTAAGCACATGGCATCCGGGCTGCCCAAAATTCAGGTTGGCCAATCGCAATCGATGACCCCCGCAGGGGCGAACTCCAAGCTCCGGGCTGGGTGTCGTGGCCTGGACAAACGCCGGCGCGCCCGTAGAACTAACTCGGGCTGTGGGCCCATGGTTGTCGGAAATGGATTGATCAAATGGATGAAATTTACCCCAAAAAAGGCATGTCCTGCTACCCCTTGGCCACCAACCACCTTCCACGACCTGCCCAAGGTGGACCAAAAAGTGTTTTCTGGGATTGAGTCTACCTAGCAAAAAACCAGCGCACTCCCCAGGCGCCCGGAGAGGTTTCTTCTCGGCCTGGCTCCCAGTGGCTGCTGAAGTTTGCCCAGGCCGGGGGCACTGAAGACGCGCGCTTCAGCAAGACCGACCTAGGCCCGGAGACTAAAGGGCGCCGCCGGGAAAAGGCGTCGCAAAAAACTCTCACCTGAGTGGACGACGTCTAAACTAGCTCTTTACCAATGGATGGGTTTTCCTAAAAGTACAACACCCAACTGACAAAGCGAGAAAAGAGACTCCAGGATGACACACCATCTGCAAGCAAGCTGGAATCGCTTCATGTTTGATTCCATGTGCAGTCCCATGAAATGAATGCGAGGTTTATCTTCAATTTGCTTGCAGGTCCCAAATCTTGGTAAATGTTGCCTAGATGAAGTGTGCACGGGTTACAAATTCATGCACTTGAGGTCGGTAGGATTCTGTGGTTCTTGGATCCTGAACTCCGAGCCACTCCTACTAGGTCACCACAAAACTGGCAAGTTGAGGGGGAAATCAAGATAGACACAGAAGCAAATGAGGACAAACATGCTGTACGAGCATGTCGCAGAAGATAATGAACAACAAGAGCCTTGCAGATGCTAAGCAACTGGGGAACATGGCATCATGTGTTGCAAAGCCTCGAGACTCGACCAATCTCCTCTTACAAACCAACCATGGCAGCGGGCATCACGCAAAGCATCTGGGCCGGCGGCCAATTGATGCGCGTGATGCCCATCGCCGCGGGTCCTTCGGAGTCGGAAGGAAGACAGGTCCCGTGGCAAGAAATTTGCAGCCCCCAATCAAAGCGCATATCGTGAAGTTCAAAAAGGAACACCCCTGCGAAATGCCGGTGAAGATAAAACCCAAGGCACATGATGTCCACCAAAGGTTCATGATTGAGGGTCACGCTTGTTGACACCGGGAGACACCAAGGCAGCCTTTGTTGGCCTGCCTTTGACCGGGCACGGAATGGGCACGGAATGGGCACGGAGGCAACAAACAAGATCAGTTTGCGGTCCAGTAAGAAAGACCTGCACACATATTTTGTGGATCCCTGGTGGCCAAAAACAAGCTGTCAACTGGAATGTCCCAACAGATGGGCCTGTACTCAGGGCAGGTTCCCCATTCTGCTCCTCCATTGTCTCTGCAGAACCTTTCATGTTCCTCTCGGTTTTGGGCCCAGTTTTGGAACGGGTAGTGCGCAGTGTCCCTACGAATCCCCTCGCGGCTCCTTTGGCTGCCAAAACACCACTCAGGGCCTGGCCGCGGGCTCCAAAACGGCCAAGGTGGCAGCAAGTTGCCAATGATTTCACGATGCTCATTCACGATCATTGAATACATGTGCATTCTTTGTTTGCTTCTGATATCATATCCAGACTAGGGGGTTCAGCAAGGTCGATTGCAAGACTTGATATGTCCGTTTACAAGCAGTGATCACTGACACTCAAGCAACAGTGGAGTTCAAAGCAACGGCGGATACCTCCATGTTGCCAGTGGCACCAGGGACACAATTGTAACTTAACACGAATCCTCCTAGAGTCCTTAGACTTCCATAGTTGGATGCGACTGCTTCACTGGCAACACTTTGAGAACAAACCATGCCAAGCACATTGTCGCTGTACATGAGACCACACTTTGTCTCCCAATCAATCCTTTCGATCCGTGAACGGCCAACTCTTTGCATGGACTGTCTTTTGATGCTAAGAGCCGAACTGTTTGGAGACTGTCATTGTCCAACAAAGGGCGTAAGGTTGAGAGCGGCCCCCAGAGTTGCTCTCAGCGGAAACTCAGTTCAAACTGCCACCCAAAAGGTGATGTTTCAGACCGTCACACAGGGAAGACAGAAGAGCCCTGGTGCAAGCAAAGATCAATCTTTTTTCAAGGTTGTCTGCTGCATGGGTCACTGCAAGAGTTCTGCTTTGGCTCAACTCCACAACGCTGATCATACCAGTCACCTACCCCTTTGCAGATGCCAATGCAGCCATTCACACCATACATCTTTAACAAACAAACAAACAAACAACCGTAATCCTCATCGTGTAGTTGTGCCTATGTCATGCTGTCCTTGAATGTGTTTCGACCCCCGGCTGCTCTTGCGCTCTTGTAGTTGTTGATAATGCTATTTGCAGTGGGCATATTCCCCTGTTTGCGTTTCCCAAGGTCAAGAAATCGCTGCAATTAAAGCAGTCCAAACATCATTTGCCAGTTAATTCTGGGAAACCCCGCCCCAACAACACAAGACAAGCAAAACTGCTGCGTGTTCACCCATTCAAAAATCAACAGCAAACCAAAGTCAAACAACGCTGTTTTCAGCTTTACCCGGCTCCACCTGCCCATCCGCCACGCCCATCCGCCTGCAGCGCGTCGCTGGGGGCCACCTTTGGAGCCCAGAAGCCGGGGCCCCCCACGCCGCCCCGGGCGGCCATGCCTCGGGCTTCCGACGAGGCTCGCTGTACCGAGGCTCCGGTGGGGAGGCTCCGCTCAGCTGCCGTTGGGGTGTGAAGAGAAACGCAAAGGGAACCGAATGATCGGTTAAAATGAGAGGTGTTTTCTTTGGCCATTGGTATATATCCCCGTGAAAAGGCGACACAGGGTTCAAAATCGAGCCATATTTATTGAGAAACACCCGTGGAACGCACCAAAGAAAGGGTCCCCCTTTGGAGCCATGCTTAGCTTCCAGGACCCGCCACTCATGGACGCGAAAAACAACATGGTTCTGATACCAACGTGGGGCACGCACATGTTTGCTTTATCACAAAGGGAGGCATCCCTGGCCATGGCAAAGCGCGATCGTGCGGGTTGTCAACCAGGTTGCCACCGTGAATGACGTTCTTGGAGGGTAGGACATTCATACACACAATCAATACTACTTAAGTCCAACGTTGCTCGGCGTGTCGGACACCTAAGAGTGGATAGAGGATAACCCCCCCCCTAACCCCCCCCCCCCCCGCCCGACGTCTGATACCCCTCCACGGACCGCGCGGCAATTTGATGAGATGACGTTCCACCAAACGTAGTCTTCGGGGAGCCGGTGTCGCAAAACAGGGGTCCCAGGCTCGATTCCCCCTGCCGGCTCTTTGCTGGTTTGGAATTCCTGCCTCCTTTTGCCCAAAATCTGGAAAAAACTTTGTGTTTTTGGAAAACGCTGGAAAAACCGTTTTTTTTTTTGCGGGAAATATTGGGGAGCAAAGGGGAAATGCAAGGAAGTGCAAGGAAATGAGGGGAGGAACTAGGATGTCGACATGACAGGAAAGCAGCGGGAAATGAAAGGGAAACAAAGGGGAACTGAGAGGGATATGCAAGGGACAGAAATGAAAACAAGGGGAGTGCAGGGGGAATGAGAGGGAAACGAAGCACAAGGACACCAATCGGCACGACGGGAGATGTAGGGAAATGACTCGGGGCATACATGGAAAATGAAGCGGACACACCGAGAAAATGTCAGGGACCTGAAGGGGTAGTTGACAGGCATGGAAGGGACATGACCAGGACATCATGGGAAACGTGCAAAGGACATGAAGGGGAAATCAAGAAAGCCAGTAGTCAAATGACAGTTCAGGGTCATGAAGGGGCAGTGCCCGGACATCGAGGCAACTCAGGGGGGACGTGATGCTGCAATGCAGAGAGAGAGAGAGAGAGAGAGGGAGAGAGCGGGAGAGAGAGAGGGAGAGAGAGAGAGAGAGAGAGAGAGCGAGAGCAAGACACAGAGAGTGAGAAAAAGAGAGAGAGAGAGAGAGAGAGAGAGGGAGAGAGAGAGAGAGAGAGACAGAGAGAGGGGGCAGAGACAGAGCCAGAGACAGAGCCAGAATCAGAGAAACACAGAAAGAGACAGACAGAGAGAGAGACAGAGAGAGAGAGAGAGAGAGAGAAAGAGAGAGACTGAGAAAGAGAGACACAGAAAGACAGAGAGAGAGAGAGAGACAGAGAGAAAGAGCGAGAAAGTGAGAGAGTGAGTAGAGAGGTTCGAGTTAGGGTACCCTTTTTCTGTAGAGGGGCGTGGACAGGAAGGAGACAGGGAGACAGAAAGAGACAGAGAAACAGAGAGAGCGAGAGAGAAAGAGAGTGAGAGAGAGAGAGAGACAGAGAGATGGAGATTGAGGAGAGAGAGGCTTGGGGGGATGGGGAGGATGGGGAGGAGAGGGAGGGAGAGAGGACGACAGACACACGAGCGGGACAAGGGAGAGAGGAAGCAGGAGAAAAGGGAGAGGACAATGTCGGCGGACTGAGCCGGAGGCTCTGAAGTTATATTTCTTGTGAATGCCACCGTGTGCTTGACTTAGTTCACAAAGACATCAATAGGACTCTACTCTGGGCTGTCCTCAGATCCACTGCTAAAACTGTAGCTTTTAGTGGCATAATTGGAACCCTACTACACCCCAAAACCAAAACACCTAAGCCAAGTACCTGGGGTTGCCAAACCTCCTTTGGGATGCTTTAGGAGGCATCGTAGTACATCGGGAGGAAAACACACATTTCGGTCAAAGGCCCATTGCCAAATGAGGGGCGCAACATTGTGACCCTTTTTGGGTCCTGACCCTCTCTGCTTCTGAAAGAAGCAAAACATGCCACCAGTGCCTAGCGTTTCCCTATTCTTGTAAATTCCACATTCGACGGCTCAATTTGAGGCTTGAGGCTCGCAACTCGGACCCAACGAATTTCCGCCAAGGGGCCAACATCTGCCCAGGGCCCCCATTGCAAGCTCAGAGCAGGCAGTCCTGCAGGCGGAATGCGAGTGAATACTGGCGGGTGCGTCCATGTGTAGCCAGAAAACACTTGCTGCTTAGCCGAGGCAAGTTCAGTGGCAGGGCGAATTTCACGAATTTCAGCTGACAGCAAAACAGCTAAGGTGTGCAGAAAGCTCGTTGCTCCAGAAAGGCCATCTACAAAAAAAGCGCTATGGGTCCACTGGCTTTGGCCAGCTCTTGCCTGCCATAGGTTGATATTGCGGCAGTCTGCGACTTGCTCCGGACCGCCCTGAGGTTTTTCGCGGGGCTCCGGTATGTGAGCAAGCACCTTGCTTCGTTGCCAAATATCCAGGGCAATCCGCCGGCCTTTGGCTTGACGGTGCAAAGCGAAGGCGTCCAGGAAGGAGTTGGCTGCTGCATAGTTGCCCTGCCTTCGGCTCCCAGTTGGGATCGTTGTCAGACATGGGGGAATGGTTCTGGGTGCGATCAATAGGGCGTCTGGAAAAACAAAAATGCCCGAACAGGGTTGTTCTTTGCATGTAGAGGAATCAGCTGGTAAGATGGATCAACCGTTCACTCAATATCTAGCACCCCTCTGCACCCAGTCCTGCCGTAAACGTAGCGGGGACAATCAAAGAGCCAATGCCCATTGGCCAAAACTGACAGGTTTTTCCGCAAGTGAAAGCAGGCAAGTAATAGATCTGTCGAGCGCCAACACTCGAATAATTCCTCGAGTTCTGGGCATCCGTCAATGTTGAGCATGTCAGGTAAGAATGTTACGCATCTGTACTTGATGGGCATGCATGATACTTGTGTAAGCGTGATTCCCGTGATCCTGCATGAGGCTGCTTTGCGGCCAGCTTGCGCATGCAAACGCATGCCTTGGCGCACCTACAAGCCCTGCCCCACATTTGCAATTTAAAAGCAACGACTAAAACTTCCTGGAAAAGCCGTCGTTGTCCTAACTTCCTTCTTGTCCGCACTCGGTTTGTTCAGCTTGTTTCAGCGCGCCTTTCAGACCAGAAACGGTTCGGCAAGCGGTTCCACAAGTAAGGGTTCAAACAAATAGAGGAGCATACATCTCACTTTGGCTTACACGGCGGCTCAGCACAATGCCCAGGGCAAGCTTCCTCTGGGGCTACGGTTTCCAGGAAAGCCCACCCAAACACCGGAGATTCTGGACAGCGAGAGCTTGGGACTGCAGCACCAGGCAAACCGCCGGACCCCTTAGGGGGTTGCCTCAAGCCTGGATACAAGGCTATGTGCCAAGCAGCGCCTTGGCATTTGGGCTGATTGGGCACGCAATCCGAGGCTGTTCAATTAAGTCACAATCAACATCTGCCAAAGGAGCCAACACCCATGCTGAAGAACTGAAAAGGATATCCGCACACATATTCACGACTAGTGTCACAAACTTTCTCTACCTCACGTTTCCTGGCTGAATTCCGACAAATCGCGGCCAAAGGTACCCGGGGGAGCCCATCAACGCCGCCACCGAGGAGAACATCAGGAAGTGCGCCAGGCTCGACTTGGCGAAGGCTTCCTGGGAACTTGGAGCAGAGGCCCCAGACTTCGACCCTTCTACAAATTTGGCTTGCCGGTTGAAAGGGGAAAGACAAGGCAAGGCAAAAAGGCAAAGAAGCCGAACAGGTAGGCTAGGTCTGGCGAGCTATCTATTCTGTCAAAGCTAAAGTTTGGATTTACTCATAGGTTTCACTGAAACTCCCTATGTTTGCCAGCAAAACTGTAGGGAACCCTTCAGGCAGAGGTTAAGGGTCGGTGGTCTTGCGGTACGGATGATAGGGGACCCCTGAGGTTCGTCGAAGTGTGTGTGTGTGTTTGTTCAATGGATCCTTCACACCGTAGAAGGCTTTCTGCGCAAACCTTATTCCCGGTTCCCGGACACTCCAGCCCCACAATATGCGAGCATCGTAGCACGGTGCTTAGCAAGGAGAAGATCTGTAAAGAAATCGAGGAGTGGTTCATTATTCCCACTGATCAATGTGAAGAAACAACAAGTCAAAACCACGTATACCTGGTAGCAACTGATATGTTGGATCAATCACCGGCAAGTAAATTCCATCCGGCCCTTGCAGGGGGCTGACACCTGACAAGCGTGGCCACTCGCTCAAAGAATCCGTGTCACCGCTGCATCGCTCAGTCCAAACCATCCAAAGGAGTCCCCCATTTCGAGACAAACCCCAGAAGCGAGACTGGCCAGGCAACCATTGATCCGGTAGCTGAGGCCCCCACATGCAGGTTCACAGCTCCATCCTTGGAGCAAGAGGCATCGAGATGGCACAAGGATGCACAAGGCACATGGTCCAACATATTGGATGACCTTAAACAGGTTCTATCAAAAGAGCTCCAAGATGCTACACATATGCCCACATTGTCCTTTGGTGCAAGCTGGAGTCCTGGAGCCTTGTTGGAACCCGATTTAGATCTGAACATCGCGTCAAGAACAACGCACGACCGGGAAGTGCTGGAAAATCTCCAATCAATCTGATCACTTGCGTTGGTTTGTGGTAAAATGACCATCCCCGGCTCGTTTGCTCATCCCTGACAGCCAGGCAGACAATCAAAGGGTCCTGTGGTGGTTTGTCTACGGGCACCAATCACATGAAGTAAGCCAGCAGCACATGATGCACAGGCGTGATCCAATCACGACGCAAGAAGCGTGCTGCAAGTCCAAATGCTAAGGACCCGTCCACTTTGGGCGAAAAGACCGGCAGCAAATGACCGCTCTCCATGTGAGCGATCGTGTGGTCCTGTGATGCGGTGCGGAAAGTATTGGACTCGTTGTTTTGCTCCCCCGAAGGATATCTGTTGTGCAGTGGCCCCGCCCACGTCGCCAAACTCAACAGGTCATCTGCCATACTGTGGATGGACGAAATCCTGCACCACTATGAAAAGCCACTGTTGGTGGGCATTTGCAGGTAAAGCATCATTCCAGGGGTTCTTAAGCGGTGCAGGATTTCGTTCATCCACAATATGGTCGCTGCTCACATAATGGAAATGTTACAAGCATAGCCCTCCCTCCCTTGGGCAGCTTGCATGGGCGGAGTCGCACGTTTCTGTCAACAGGAAGCCATCTTGCTAAGAGGAAACCGTCTGGGAAAAAACCGCAGTCAATCAATCCAAAGTCTGAAGCAAGACCCCCCTCCCGCCCCAACGTGCTCATACGCATACCATAATCAGGTAAGCTCGACGACAATCGGCACAGTCAGGTAACATAGGCCTGCTGGACGGACTTGGATCCTTTGGTGGATCGAACGAATCACAGGGAATGTCTGTCCACCAACCACTTTTGAGAAGCCGCATTAAATTTAATAGCGGTGGGGAAGGATCAGTTACAGCACTGGGGGTGTGCCCCTTCTCTTCCATACATTCCTTGCTGCCCTGATTGAGAAAACCACACATCCCAATGCGTAGAGGACTCTCCTCTTGGGGCATCAAATGGTTCCTTTTCCGGCGCTTTCCTTTCGTTGCAACCCCACAAAAAAAGGATCAACTCCAAAGACGCGGCTTTTGATATTACCCCCTGGATGCCCGCTGTCTCCAGCTCATAACTTTAAGCCCTGGCCAGACAAGGAGGTTATTACCATGGGAAACCTGGTGTTTATGGTTTTTGGTTTTAGCACCGCTATATACCTATAATATGTCCCAACAAGGATAAACCGATCGGTGGGTATTGGAGTTGCGGGGTACTTGCCGATCGAATCGATCCCAGCACCACGCCTCCAACACGCCAGCGGCGTGCACAACACCTCGGTTTGGGTACTGGGCCCAGTAGTCTTGATCCGCTTGCAGACAACAGGACCTAGGGGTAAAACAACATAGAGCGTCTGGCCAAACAAAATATATGACCTCATGCCCTTTTGGCTTCCCACTGGCAAAATAAACACACTATTTATATGTTACTGGGCAATCTCGATCCTTGCAAACCACTGAAACACAGAGAAACAACCAGCAAAGCCTTTGAAGTATTGCGAAAAGAACACACATATAAATGCATATAGAATACGTCTCCAACTCTGTATATAATGATCACTAGCAAATGTTGTCGCTTGACCCCATCGCAGGATCGCCCGCAACTCCATTGATGGGTCAATACCTGAAGTGCCTGCTAAAACGTGCTAGTGCCAATGGGAACAGCCACACACACACACATGCGCTCTCTGCAGAGAGCCCTTTTGGGAAACTGGAGTCAACTTCTTACATTGACATAAAGATGCTTAGCTAGAGAACCCCCCCCCCCCCCAAAGGAAAACAACAAACTGAAAAGCGTGGGCGTAGTCAGTTAGTGTTCCTCTCAATGGTCCCAAACAGGGTTCTACAAGAAAACCCACACCTGCATGTTCCCATAGCTGTTTGAGAAACCGTCTTTGCATAAAATAATGAGCAACAAGGGTTTCAAAAGCAACAAATACCCCTGTAGCTCACTTCCCACCTCCACATGGTAGATCCTGTACGCCTTGCATCGCCGCAATCGCAGCATCCACCTGCCCAGAATGGAGTCCACAGGTCGGGCCAAAAGCAGGGTAAGCCAGACCTTCGGTTTCAACCATCTGTGCCCCTTGCTAGAAGCCCTTGTCTTCAAAGGAAACTTTTCAGGGATTGTCATGTGTGAGGAACCACACAGGGCCGCCTGAAGCGAGAAGCGTTCTCCGGTCTTCTCAAAAATCTAGGGATCGTTTTCAAATGAAACTGCGGAAACTGCGGAGAGGAGTGACGGGGTGACATCTGCATTTCGCCTTTCATCGTGTCCTGCAAGAGCAGCCAACCAAAGAAGCTGCCCACGTTCCCCAGAATCCACGAGCCCCGGATGCCGAATCCCAACTCCCAGGCCCCGAATCAAAGTGATGCGGAAGGATTCCTGCTGTTCTCCCTCCTCCCAAGTCGTCGGGCGTTCCCAGTGTGGTGGTTTGCCTCATCCACTTTAGCTCAATAAAACGAGGGGGTTCGGCTTTTTTTTTTTTTTTCGTTTTTTGTACAATGTCGTATTTTACAGCATTTTCTCGACGAGCTTGACGCATTTTAAACTACCCCTCCAACATCCCCAGCATCGTTTTCAACATCCCCCGCCTGTCCGAGCAACATCCCTAGCATCACCAACAAATCGTGGGTAACATAATTAAAAAATAGCTAGCGATAGCTAGCGGGTTGACGGGGTCAAACAAATGATGATTCGAATAGGAGGGCATTTCAACAGTTTTTGTTTTTTTTAGTAGCGGGGGGGGGGGGGGCAGCCACCCCATGATGTTCGCAGAAGTGATGATTCGAATAGCTCTGCAAAAAGTCTAAAAAGTAGCGGGGGGGTTGGGGGGGCGGCAGCCCCCCCCATGATGTTCGAAGAAGTGATGATTCAAGTAGGGGTGCAATGATTCAGGAACGGCTGCGATTGAATTTAAAAGGCAGCGGGAGGGTTGGCGGGGGTGGCTTCCCCTATGATATTCGAAGAAGTGCATACATACAGACATACATGGATTACATAGATTACCTAAAATGTCGTATTTACAGCATCTTTTTTCGCGAAATTGGACGCTCGAGAAAGTGAGGATTCAAATAGGGGTGCAATTAAATATCTGCAAGAAATCTAAAAAGTAGCGGGCGGGTTGGGGTGGAGGCATGATGTTTGAAGAAGTGTTGATTCAACCAGGGGTGCAATTGCTCTGCAAACAATCTAAAAAGTAGCAGGTGGGTGGGGGGAGCCCCCCATGATGTTCGAAGAAGTCGTGATTCAAATAGGGAGAAAACTGGTGACGCTGATGATGCGGGAAGTCAAATCCGAAAATCAATGAAAGGGTGCAAAAGCAAAAATGCCCGGAGAGGAACTGGGAAAGCAGAGGATGCCCAAAAGCCGCATAAACCAGCGAAAAGCCGCAAAAGCCAAAACGCCACCTGCCGAAGAGGAACTGGGAATGTAGAGGATGCGAAAAGCCAAAGCCAAAAAGCCACCAAAAGCCGCATAAACCAACAAGAAGCCGAAAAGCCAAGAAGCCGAGAAGCCACAAAGCCAAGAAGCCAAGAAGCCGAAAAGCCAAGAAGCCAGAAAGCCAAAAAGCCAAGAGCCAAAACAATTCCAAAAAGAAGAAGACAAAAAAAAACACCTGAAATACATACCCCTCCATCAAAGGATAGCATGCAAACGCTCAGTATGGGTGATGGTGATGTAAAGATGATATCTATCTCCAACGCAGGTTTTAGGGCATGTCCAGAATGTGCCCGTTCAGAGGAGTCCCATTCCCATGTTGGAGACACTCTTGTCCAGTTGCCAGGTGTCTGCTTGGGCTTGATGCCAATAGAAATACCTAGTGACATAGAGGCGAACAGGGCGAATGCCCATTTTTGGGGGGTGCTCAATGGGTTCGCGACACCCAAAACGGGCTCCGCAAAACCCGGGGCCACGCCTCTGGTCGCTTGGAAACGTCGCAGGGCTGAAGGAGCAACTCCACTGGCCGCTCGCACCTGGCACGGGTATCGTAAGGGCCCCCCCAAAAAAAAACATGGCAAGTTTGTCTTAAAGCTGGTGAGCCAAAACTGGACCTTGGCTTTCCTTAGAATCCTCTACTAGTGATGGTTTTCTGGGTTTCATGTCAATCTGCAGCCGAGGCTGACCATCCTGCCAAGCCATAGGGGGTGTTGACCATGGCGCATATCGAGAATGGAAACCCATGACTCACAACCCCTGGTTGATGAATTTATTGAGCCACCCCTGTTTAGAGAAGTCCGGATCGCTCTTTGAGACTCAGACCCCCAATCAATCCACCGGTTGATGAATCCGGGGTTGACTCTACACTTCCGCCCAAGGTGGTCGTTATCCCCAAGGGGTCCTGCAGTCGCATGTATGACGATAGGCCTTTCAGGATGACAAGGGGTTTCCACTGGAAAGTCATGTCATGTTACAAGGTCGACTAGAACAAGGATGAAACCACCACATAACCGTACAGGGGCCTCGTGTTCAGCTTCCGCCCCTTGTTTTTGGGAGTTGCATTCCCGTTTTCTGGCCATCGCAAAGGTTATCAATTGACGGGGTCGCTTGGAACCCTTCCAAGCGACTAGCTTCGGAAACCCTTCCAATCGACTAGCTTCGGAAACCCTTCCAATCGACTAGCTTCCATTTGGCTTCCTGTCAAACCATCCGAAAGACCTTCCCCTCTAAATGGTGGTTGAAGGGAAACCACCCCAAAAGTTGCTTTAAGAGAACCTGTCAGGCTCTGCACTGCAAGGGACCACATCTCCCTCAACGAACCCCTTCAAAGCATGTCAGGCTGGCAACTTTTGCATCGCTTCGCCCTCCGGGCTCTCCTCATGTCTCCGTGCGTTGGCTTGCATGTTCTGGGGTCCCGGTTCCCTGGGCTGATTTCATCTCGAATGACAAGAATTCACGGAAGGGCCACCGAAAGCAAGCCTTCACGAGAGGTCGCAAACCCCGGTCGCTACAACTTGCCCAGATTTGATGTTCTCTTCCTCGGCCATTTCGTTCGCTCCACGCATGGAAGCTACCATCTGGAAATGGCCCGCTGTCCACTTCCACGATTGGTGTAAGGGTACATACGGAAGCTAGTACCCTACTGTTGAACATTCCCAAGTAAAAAATGCTGCTCGGGCAATTGTGGTTTGGCTTGGTAAAAGAAGAAACCTACCAAATGGGTCCGAAAGGAGATTCCACCACACAAGAGCCTTCAATTCCCACAAATATTGTTCAGAAAATTCTTCCCGGATTGCCTTGGCCAAACTTTCCTTGACCCCGCTCGCCTAGCGCAATGTACCGTTTGAAATCCTGGCTTCAGTTGTCCCATCCTGACCTTGGAACATGAATCGATCAGAATTTGCATGCGGCCGGCTGGTCAAAATTGCAAACATCTCCCTCACAGGCATTCGACCACGCAACTAATGAAGATCAGACGTTAATACATAATGGCTTCTTAGCTCTACAACTAAGGTCTGATGTAAACACATGGAAAGGTATTGAGTGCCCCTTGGCAGATCATGGACAAGGCGGTTTTCACAAGGCACGAGGTTTGTGCTTTGCGCAAGTGGAAGAAGCAGCACACTACAACACGGCTAGCTTCATGTTGCTGTATCACAACAACTTTAATTCAGCATTCCCCGAAGTGGTTGGTTCCTTGAAACTTGTTGTTTCCCCTTTGGTTGCTTGACTATGAATTGTGATATTCCCACTTGCATGGCATGATGCCCGCCGTTTGCCTACTGTCCTCTTGCCGGGCTCTGCCACACTTGATTCCGGAAGACTCAAATCAGGCAACCTCCCGGTGTCACGAGGAAAGTCTCACGAAAGCTCATCCTGTAAATACGGGGGGAGAAAAAAAAACACCCCCAGGAACCCTCAGGTCTGCCGACCCACACCAGAGGGACTACATTTGCAGAAAGCAGTAAACTATAGTAAACTTGTTTTGGTCAAATCAAGTCAGAATGAACATTCAAGGCAGTGCTCTTCAAGCCATGACTAGAAGAGGGCTGTGGAAACCGTCTTCTAACCCAAAGCCAGCTCCGGCTCTTTGAATTACTTTGCGGCATTGATTCGCCTCGCGCCGAAAGTACACGCCTTTGATTTTTCCACTGGGAGCCGCGCCGGTCGGCAGTGGCCGCTGCGCGAGAGCAGCGCCAAATGAGTGACCCCCTGGCAATGGGAGTCGAGACTGCAAACAGGCAAACACAAAAGTGATGTTGATGGTACATAAACCACACATACTATAATATGTATTTAAGCTCCTTCCGGGATGTCCAAGCTAGAATTCCAGGCACAAACATATATCATAGATACACAATATTTGAGCCCGCTTGTGCCGCAATGTATGGTCAACATAGGCCACGCACAACTATCTCTACAGCCTCAGTCACCGCTCAATGAGAAGCTAAACCAGGGCTGCTGCTGCTGCTGCTGCTGCTGCTGCTGCTGCTGCTGCTGCTGCTGCTGCTGCTGCTGCTGCTGTTCGTTGCTTTGCTTCATCTAGTGGATTTGGTCTGAAAAGCTTGCCACACACTTGCAGCTTTCTGATCTGCGCGCTTGGTGCCAATTTGCGCAAATCACGCTTTGCGTTGCTGACTGCATCAGCTCGGCCAGCAAGCTCCTAACTTCAAGAATCGGCCAGAACGGAAGGCTTGACAAGTTTGCCTTGAACTACTGAACTACACTACGACCCGAAATGAAACAGCACAAGGTGTGCAAAAAACATCACTAGACTGCAAGATCGGTTTCTTTAGATCCTGCAAGACTCCCAAGGCACAAAACCAAAAATAAACACATAACATGATTCTGTCCTACGGGGATGTCCCACGGGGACGTCCTACAAAAACAAACAAAAAAGCAAAAAACCAGATTCTGTTCCAAGAAAATGTCCCATCAACAAAATGGCCAAGTCCTTGCGCAAGGCTCTGCGCCATGCGCGAAGCTCCGGCTCGCTGGCAGACTTGCAGCATCAGCCCATAGGCGTCCGCATCCACCGGCAAACCGCTGGCCGCGAGCTCTCGGACCAAAACCAGCGCTGGCCAGTGACCTGAGAAAAAGAACAAAAACAACACATTAGACTCGGTGGATGTTCAACAATAGGTGGGTATGGTGAGAAGTGGAGGGGTTGGTTGGCTGACCATTGTTCTCATGCAAGTAAAGGAGGTCATAGAAGGGGTATAGGGGTTGGTTGTCTTGTTGCTCTAATCAAGTAGGTTGAACCGCCAAAAGGATGGTTCGACAAATCGGTCGCCCTGTGGCCATGGAAGAAACTGGCTGCAGTTTGTCATGATCCGTTCGTCAAGAAAAACCAGCCAAGCAGCTTTGTTAAGGCTCCCTTGGTACCTTGGAATGTACTTTGATCCTCCATGTTGACCCCTGAAATATGTCAAAAGGTACTTGGACCCTTTGGGCTTCTGGAACAAACTGAAGCAACAGAACATTGTGCGGTAGAGTGACTTCCGACGGCATTGATGGCAGAGATGTAGGCGATTCCATCCTGGTCCGAACCTGACTGGACAAAGCAGCCAACTTTGCGCCAAATTAACGTGCGTGGAACCCACCAGGATCCTGCAAAAGCAGATTCCTCTGATGGTACCTTGGGCTCCATGAACATTTGGGGATTAACAGGTTTGCATGGCTAAATATCAAAAAGAAACAAAAAAAACATGTCAAAGGTTTGGCTGAGAAACGTGTCTGCTCCATCTCGGCGAAGAAGTGCAAAGCAAGCGGCCACTGCTGCTTGCAGGCACTAATCAAGGAGCTATAAGTAACCACATCCGCCTGCAAACTCCTGAGTTGCCCAGCTGTGGGAGTTGCTTCTGTGGGTAGCTTGCGCCGAACGATTGAGTAGGTAAATTTATGGGAGACTGATTGGGTGGACATCATTTACATGGGAATGTATGTCCGTAAGCCATGCTTGAAATTGATAGCCAACTAAGCAAAAAGCACAAAGGCTCATGACAAAAACATGGTGCCATTGGACATCTGGGACTCATCTGCATCATTTCAACCAGAAGACGTATCGCCGGAACCCACTGCGTGCCCTTCTCGCATGCGCTGATGCTGGCGTTGAAACTGGTCACATCCGGCCTGACCCTGCTCTCTTTGGCATGATTCAGAACGCTGAGTGCCATTTGCCACTGCGCACCCTTCTCACATGCGCTGATCAACGCATTGAAGGTGATGATCGTTTCCTGGCTTATTTTGACAATGATATCCCCAAACTTTGAACTGGCAACGATCCTTCAACTACAAATTATCCACATTGCATTGGGTAACCTAGGGGTAACTTCCCATGCTCTGAAGCAATGTTTCTTGCCATTAAACCGCCAAACAACTGGAGGAAACAACAGGTGTCTGAAAAAGAACGATGGTAAATCGAATTGGGAATCAGCACCTGGAGAATCACCTTCAAGTGGACCTTCAACAGAGAAAGAAATCGCTGACCCGAATGACTGACGAGAAGGCCAACAAACCACTGATAAAGTTCATTAACCTCAAAGCATTTGATTTAGGAGGGACTTGCTGGCGAGTCCAGACCCCTCCTTTTTGTCCACTAAAGGAGGATCACATATCAGCCGGCACTGTTGCGGGCCTGAAGGGGGAGGAGAGGAGGTCCGCCCTTGAGGGTGAAACCATCAATACCAAAACATCATAAAAAGGTCAAACAGCCATTTCCAGAAAACGCATGCAAGCTTAATTGTCATGTTCACCGCGTCAACAACTCCAACTGTCCCTCTCCAAACACCTTTTACAGTCTGAAGCCCAAGCCCAAATTCTTCATTCAAAGGTCGAGGTCATTGTGTTCAACGTGAAGCCAAGGGTTAAAACAGGATTTGCAGTGTGTCCTCTGCAAACGTCACCCCACCTGAGTTTCCTGGAGGACTTTCCGGTCAAACGGGTGATGTTCAAAACAAGAAAAAGGACCCCTATACAAGGGCTCAAAGTTAAAAAGGGCTAAACTTTGATGATAAGGGATCCAAGTACTCAGAATCTCCTTGAACCGTTGGACAAGTTTTCTCAGGTTCGAAGTCAAAAAGGGCGTTCCTCTCTCCTCATCCATCTGCTGCCATACCGCCATCGCCAGCTGCCACTCGCCGCCTCTCTCACAGGCACCTGGCGGGACCAGGAGGCAAAGGCTGATGTGTCTAGCAAATTGACAGAATTCAGAGGGTAGCAACAAGGATAACCCTGGAAAAGGACCCCATTCATCGGTGAGCTCGTCCTACTCCCAGTTTTGCAGGTATTTTTGGCACAGGCATATTGGAATTGGGACACAGGCCATTTTGAGGGTTCATCGTTTGAGGGCCAACAAACCTGGAGTTTGAGCTTCTCAAAGCCAAAAGTATCAAATGGACGTGAAGTTTAACTTGGCACGCTTTGGCAGACATCATTTTGGAAACTATGGGTTGATGTCTCCCAAATGTGCATGAAGGAGTTCCCTGGCAAACAAAAAGTGGCCAAACATCTTCTCCAACCTGCCAAAGCCAGAACCTTCTGGCGGGTTCCACATGAGAGGGAGAAGGACACATCCCAAACACGTCTGTCAGCTCCTTAAACCCAGCATCAAATCCGCGAGGAGCTGATGGCGGCGTTGTGCATGATGGTGTCCGGCTGCACATTGTGCTCAGAACAGGTCTGCAGAAGGTCCAGGGCAGCCTGCATCTCCACTCGCGATTCCCTCCATGGGGGGGTTGATCAATATTCCTCTCTCCAAAATGAGCATGGATAACGTTTCCCATGTAGTGGGGAATGCCATCCTTTTAGTGGTTTCCCCCAATGGTCATCCTATGTAAAGGATCTTTTGATCAACCACCATATAGAGCTATATCTCTTGGAACCAGGGTCATGTGCTTAGCCATTGACAAGGAGTGAATTCACAAACAATGAACACATCGTGAAGATGTTGGGATGCACCTGAGTCACTGATACGTCTCCAGGGCCTTCAACAGGCTGGTAGCGCGCACAAAGAACTAGAATGACAAATAGGATAATTGTGTGACATAGTTCAGTGCGATGCAATAGACACAGGACAAGTTGTGCCAGCTAGTACTCAATATTATGTAATGTTACTATTCATGTCACAGCTCAAGGACATACTGTAATAATCAGACTACACAAACCGCAATTGACACATGAACAAGCCGCAACAAACTGATTGACGCATGAAAAAGCGGCAACGAACTGATGATACCAACCAACCAACATGAGCCGACAGTGCAACAATGCAAACATTCTAGCCTACCTGCAAGCTTGTCAACGCAAAACAGCAGCACTTGCACTATTGATAAACAAAAACACGCATGCGTTTCAGATACAGCAACAGTATACCAAGTGAGTGCACAAGCAAACGCTGATTCATATTCATCTGTATGATAGAAAACTTGTGCTGCCCACATTGCCGAAAATGGAAAACATGATCAAGTGGAATATTCCAACATCATAATAACACTAGTTCAAAGACGAGACGGCTGCACACAACTATGATGCATTTTTATCTTGATGCATCTCTAGACCAAACTTGAAGCCAACAAACTTCAACGGCACACGAAGCAGGTTTCGTGACTCGTTCAAATCAGAACTTGGGAGGTTCGAGCCATTGTGGTGCGCCAGGCCGAGACTCTTCTCCACCCTCAGAAGCCCGGTAGCCGTGGGACCTTGACTAAAGAGCCCCGCTTTTTGCAGTTGATCGAATTCAAAGGCCCCCCCCACTTAAAAATTGAAACAAAACCAAGCAACCCACTCTTCCGGCCTGCCATCTCCCATTCGCGCAGGCACTCACGGTAGCACTGAAGGTCACCACATCAAACAAACGCCGCCGAATCGCCCGGCGCAGCAAAGCCAAGGCTTGAGGCCAGCGAGAGGCTTTCTCGCAGGCGCTGACGCAGGCCTCGGTGTCGGTGTCGACTGTCGTTGAAAAGCAGACCTCTTGATTTAGGACTAAGTGACCTTATTTTCAAAATGGATCATGGCAACCAAACAATGAATCGAGGGCACTGAAAAGAAGCTGCTGGAACAGATTCGGCAGCTCAGTGCAAAAACGCCTTTGGAGCGGATGCTTGTAAGCTTGGAGACCTTTCAGTTTGGCACCGGCCAGCTGACAATTCGAGATGGCAGTTCAAACATTCGGGTGTGAGGCTCTGAGCTCCAACCTCTATACCCCTCTACCC